ATTTTCAAAACAATTAGCATTATTGAAAATGAATCGCAAAAAGAAAAATCTACTAAACTTTTTGAGGTCATGCCATGTCACATTGATGATTGTATGGAGGCATAAGTCAGGGTTATAAGTAAATTTCGGAAATCTGTATCTCTTTCATTCAAGATTACACAAAACTTGTCACAATCTATATGATCCATTTTCTTTACAGAGGAACAGTGCATTTTTATCCATTCACACTCTTTCTCTTGCACATTATTTTCGGCATGTTGGTCAACAGCCATTTCACATATATATATATATATATATATATACACACACCCCTTGAGTCCTTTGATAGAACAAATCACATTCTAAATATTTACTCATTGTTTCAACCAATTTGCCATGGGGATCATCCATTTTCATCTCCTTTTGGTTTTGATCTCTGTCTTAGGTACCAAGAATCACATTCATGTCCAATGTACGTTACAAAATTTTGTTCCTTGGTATGTGCATATTTAACTAATCTTGATATTATGCTACAGGCACAGATGCTGCAGTTTTAACATTAGAAAACAGATGCAAGGACGCAGTATGGCCTGGGATCCTGGCTGGATCAGGGAAACCTCTACTCAACAATGGAGGGATTGCTTTGAAACCAGGAGAAAGAACTGACATCAATGCACCACCTGGGTGGTCTGGCCGATTGTGGGGACGTACTGGTTGCCAATTTGATCCATCAGGCAAGGGAAAGTGCATAACTGGTGACTGTGGTGGCGTGCTAAACTGCGAAGGGGCAGGAGGTGAACCACCAGTATCACTAGCTGAGTTTACCCTTGATAGTCCAATGGATTTTTATGATGTTAGTCTTGTTGATGGCTACAATTTGCCGATGACTATAATCCCTTCTGGTGGTACTGGTGATAAATGCAAGGAGGTTACATGTGTTTCGGACTTGAACCAGAAGTGCCCCAAAGATCTACAAATGGTAGACAATGGGAAAGTTGTGGGATGTAAAAGTGCATGCGTGGCGTTCAATAAGCCTGAATATTGTTGCAGTGGAGAATTTGGAACACCTGAAAAATGCCCACCAACTGAGTTCTCCAAAATCTTCAAGGAATCTTGTCCAATGTCTTATAGTTACGCCTATGATGATTTGACTAGTACCTTCACTTGCAAAGGAGCTAATTACGTGATACGTTTTTGTTGAAGCTTACATCAAGACAGTAAAAATTAGTCTGACGATAGGTGTGTACTTTGAATCTGATTCAACATTGCATTCATTTTTATTTTTTTTCTGTTTTTGGAATAAGAAGAGAGTATACAGTTAGAAACATCATCCAAGTGTTTGCACTGATAATAGCAGGTAAAAAGCCCATATGGCTTGATGTTTGTATTTTGTAGTACACTGGCTTCAAATTCAATATATAGAACCCAAGTTTCTGACAAATCATGTACTTTTTTCTTGTTTTGCCCTTTTGTTATAGGCTTTAATGTTTAAAACTTGGATTTTTGGTGATCTAACTTGTCAAATCTAGCTTACATTTAGGAAGATGGAGATGTAAATAAAACTATTGGATATTTGAAGCAGTGCCCAGATACAAGAACAAGCAGCTTGTTATAGAAGAAACAACTGGAAAGAGCACTTAATTCTGCCATATTTGCCAGATCATCATGAAATCGACCAAACAAAGAATTTTCAGCATGGCCAGGCTCAACGAAATTCTACTATTTTGTCAATGTAATGTATGATCTCACGACGGTAAGGCCAAGCAAATCTGGCTGACAAGTAAATATCAACAATCCAAGAATAATCAGTTATTAGAAAAGGGAGAGAATGATACCAGATTCAGTTTATATTTAATTGTCCATGAAGGCTTTGAATGGCATGGATCAGCGTGTTCATCCAGGAAGCATAGAAACATCCACCACAATGCAAATAATAGTACAAATTGTAAAACCCCATTTCTAAATTTAGTAATAGCATGAATTGTATTTAGTAATTAATTCTTTTTCTATTTGATTTTTGGTATTGTCGTAAGAAAGGGGTATTTTTGTTAATTTTTAAAGTTGCGTTAAGGGGTAAGAACGAGGAAATAAATCCTGATGGGTTTGCATTATAAAGAAGGAAAAATTTGGACATTTCTCCCAGGAAAAGCTTAGGTGGCGGGGTTAATTTAGAGAATATTGGGGGGCATAAATAATTTCAGAAAAATGTTTTGTTTAAAAAAAAAGAAAACTGGGCAGTTCGCCCAAAGGAAGATGAAGACGTGAGCTGAGGGGGAGAGTAAAAACAGAGCAGGAAAAAAAAAAAAAAAAAGAAGAAGAAGAACAGGGAAAGAAGAAAAAGGAGAAGAGAGGGGAATGGGTGCGGCTGAAAATGGCAGAGTGAGAGAGAAGAAGAGAGGAGAGAAAGGGAGAGGATATATTAGTTTTTGAATTTTGAGTCTGTGAACAGTGCATAATCAAATCGTGATCTGCAGCTCGTTTGCCGTCCGATCGTTCTGTTATTTGGATATGTTGTTCATGAGACACAGCTCTACATTCTGAACGGTGAAGATCGAAATCCAAGCACTGTAATAGGCAGTCAATTATAGGATTAGAAGAGTGAGTGGCAAAAATCAAACCCTTTTCTCCATATTTCAAGCGTGCATGTGTGATTTGTTGAGTTTTGTTTCTAAGATATGAAAGATTTTACATGCATGGAGATACATTGCATCCAAATGCTTAAATTCATGTCTGCATGTGTAAGTTGTGTTTTCCATTTTATTGTTTGATGTAAGTTCTGAGTTAATTGCAAAGTTTACTAAATATTGCTTTTTCCATGCTTCGTTGAGCCTTATGGAGAATTGTTTGATTGTGGTTGAGTGCTGTAATTTTTGGTTTCATGGGTGGAGATAGTTTGAGTTGTTGAAGGAAGTTTAGTTTGAGGGAACAACTTGAAATGTCCGAAATTCCTTTTTACTTTGAAAGTACCCGTGCAACCTATACTCTTAAGTTTTCATGTATTCTGCTTATATGATGGGTTTAAGTGCATGCCAGTTAACAAAAGAAAGAATAGGTGTTCTCTGAAAAACCACATGTCAATTTGGGTGGATAATGGTTAGCACTTGTGTTATATTATATAGAATTAATGTGTTGTTGAAATTGGAAACTTACAGATCTGATTAATTGGATGGTGTGTTGAGTTATGCATGTGAGGTTTTATATATATACAGGATGTGGTGCAAAAATCTTCTCGGTAAAAAGGGGAAATGGGGCGCTTTTCGTCAGTTTTGAAAGTATATTTTAAAAACTTGCATTTTACCCCCTATTTTCCATGAAATCTCATATGTTGGCATGATTTATCCTTATATGAAATATTATTATTATTATTATTATTATTATTATTGTTGTTGTTGTTGTTGTTGTTGTTGTTGTTGTTATTATTATTTTTACTCTTGGGTTTAATTATAATTATAATGTGTTATATGAGTTTTGACTTTTAAAAGTTTATGTTTGCTTATGATTTGTATCGGACATATGCTAAAATCATGTGATGTTGAATTAATTTTCAATCTGGGTTAAACCGTTAGTTTCTGAAACATATTTAGAAAATTACAGTTTCACCCCTATATGTGATTTTTTAATATTATGTCATCTATGTATGATTTATAAGCACATACGTAATATGCTCTTGACTTACACGTTACTTGAGATTATGTATGAGTATGTTGTGGTGCTAAAACCACCCTATGAAGTACCCATCCCCTAGAGATACAAATTTTTGGCTCTGCCTGAGCGATGCAGATTCCGTTGGGTATGACAGTTTCAGATTTTAGCTCTGCGCATGCGTATGACAGTTATCAGTGCTCTGCCTAGGCATTGAGTGGTCCGCCAGGTGTGACAGTTTTGAGGCTCTGCCTGCGCGATGATAGACCTTGCTGGGTATGACAGGTACGTCCCTTGCTCTGCCTGTGTGCGGGACGCCTACCAAGTATGACAGATTTTCCCCAAGGTACTAGTTGTGGTGAGAGTTTTCTAATACTAAAAGTTAAGGTTTTATTCAGGATCCAATTCAAAAAAAAAAAGAAATAAGTCAAGAGTATAGTTTACTGAGTGTAGGATGGTTAGAAGTAAATCATATATTGCATACGTGATTGGGGCGGTTGTTCTATTGCATATTCATAGAATTATATTGTCGTCAGGATTTGCTTGAGAATTGTTGTATGTTATCATTATTTCTTTTTTTTAAGAACTTTTATAAATCTCCCCTTTCCCCCACTCATTGAGTATTTCAACTCACCCCTTTTTAAATGTTTTCCCCCCTCACCAGGACCTTTCGGAGATCATGCAGAGCAGTGAGCCTCCGCTTAGGGTTGTGCCACGCTTCAACATCTTTTTATGTGGGTTTTATATTTATGTCGTATTGTATTTTGGACTTTCGTTTCAAGAACTCATGTTTCCCATCAGGTATTTCCTTTTGTTTCATGTTTTGGAAGGTGTAGTATAAGTGGAAAATCTAATACCACAAGTTTTCCTAACTCTTTTCTTTTGTAAAACGAAAGATGATACATGTCTTTTTGAGATGTTGGAAATGGAAATACTATGATGTTATTCAGGAAAAGTAGGTCTTTTAACAGGTTTCACATTTTTTCTATATGACAAGTCTCAGGTATCCGAGTCTTATGGGAGTGCCCGGATCCTACGGGATGAGGAAATTTGGGACAGGTGGTGTCACAAATGATCATAAAAGTTGTCAAACTTATCACACAAGCAATGTATTCTATCTGAATCGAAATTCATATTATGGAGGAAATGCTGCCAATCGATTGGATTACATGTATAATTTACAGGCAACTTGTGTATTTCCACTACCAAACACAGCTTAAATCGTGAAAAGGTTAGTTTCGTTTTGCAAACAAGTTTGCTTCTCCCTTAAATTCATCACATCACATCACCTTGGAATTTTTTTATGCAAATGGGAAGGACGGTAAAACCCTGAATGAAGTCAAAAAATTTCCAGAAGCTATAAACAGTGGTCACCTGTATGCGGTAGGTGGAAGGAGGAGAATATCCTATGATGATGTGCAACAGCTGAAACTCCTTCCCCCAGACTCTGGCTCCTGACCAGGGACAACAATCTTGGTACCCGTGAGAAGCGATGCACTGCCACCAGATTCAGATTCATCATTGGCGACAAGAGACTTTTTGGTAACAACTCGATAAATCTCTGTCAAGACCGTGACAAAAGCTGTTTCAACATTAGTTGACTCAAGAGCTGATGTCTCCATAAAGAACAGGTTTCCCATTTCAGCAAACTCTTTCGCATCCTCAGTAGGTACAGCTCGAAGGGTCCCCAGATCAGACTTGTTGCCTACAAGCATGATCAAAATATTTTTATCTGCATGTCCTCGCAATTCCTCCAACCATTTGGCTACATGATCAAACGACTGACACTTAGATATGTCATAGACCAGCATTGTCCCCGCTGCACCTCTGTAGTATGCACTTGTAACAGCATGATACTTGAGACCACCATTAACAGTATACACAGAACAACAAAAATATAAACATATTAGTTTCTAGTGTTAGATCTTTATCCTAAGAAAGCTGTGGAAGCTGTTACACCAGATTTACCTTCAGGATCTCTTCCGGTTACCTAGCTGACCACGATGTGTTCTGTTAGCTCATTTGGATTTTCTGTTATGCAGTTAGTTAGTGATTCAAATATTTAAAATTGATTTACTTATCCATGCTGATATTTCTGTTGTAATTCAAAATCTTGTAATCCTCTATTATATATGAATATACATGAGAGCTGGTATCTCAAGGAACCAGATCTTACTTTCTTTCAATTTTGACTTGGTATTAGAGCAATTCTTTGCTCATGCAACTCGGTCCCATATGGCCTCATCAATATCTTCCGTTGCTTCCTCATTTGTTATCCCAAATATCAAATCTTTGGTTTCTGTCAAATTAGATGGAACCAATTACTTGAATTGGACAACCCAATTCATTCCTGTGCTTAGAAGCCATGACTTACTAAGCATTGTTGATGGTTCAGAGGAATGTCCTCCTCAATATCTTGGTGATTCCACTGAGAAATCTACTTCTGATATCAATCCACAATATTTGGTTTGGCAGAAGAAAGATCAATTCATTTTAGCATGGTTAAACTCTCACTGAGAAAATTCTTTCTACAATTTACGGTCTTACCACATCCAATATGGTCTGGAACATGTTGGCCAGCAGATTTGCTCCTCAATCTCGATCTCGTATCTCCTACCTCAAAAGACAACTTCAAACCTTACAACAGGGGAACAAAACCTGCTCTGACTACCTGTTTCTAGCAAAAAGTTGGTCTGATCAACTCACTGCAGGAGGTAAATCTGTGGATGAGGAAGACTTAATCTCTTATGTTGTTGGAGGTCTCAACCCCATCTACAATCCTTTTATCACATCATTCAATTTTGCCACCCGAGACAAATCCATCTCTTTTGATGATTTCCAATATGAATTGCTCAATTATAAGCAACTCCTTGATTCTCAAAACAAGTCCCTTCCCAGTGATGGCACTCAATTTGCCTTCTTCACCAACAAACCAAAATTTCACCATGGCAAGAAACCCAAATATCCCACTCAGCAAGTCAAACCTCCCTCTTCTCCTAAGCCTAATCCCACTACCACACCTGCCAATCCTTCCTCAAAACCACAACCCTCTGGCAGCCTTTTTTCCACTAAATTCCCACCATGTCAAATCTGTGGTAAGCCTAACCATCAGGCGCTTGATTGCTACCATAGAATGGATTTCACCTACCAAGGTCGACACCCACCAGCACAATTAGCAGCTATGGCAGCCCATACACATGTCACACAAGAGGATGAACAACCTTGGTACCTTGACAGTGGTGCGAACAACCACATCACCTCTGAGTTGGAGAATCTGACACTGCAACAGCAGCCATATCAAGGGAATGACAAGGTCATAGTAGGCAATGGAGGAGGTTTGCTCATCACCAACATTGGTTCTTCTATGCTTCTTAATTCCAAACACAAATTTCTTTTACATAATATCTTACATTGCCCAAAAGCATTATCCAATCTTTTGTCCATACAAAAATTATGTCATGATAATAACTATTACTTTGTGCTTACTTCTTCTCACTTCTTTGTGAAGGATCTACAGACCAAACAAATTCTTCTTCAAGGACAGAGTGAAGCTAGCTTGTACCCTCTATACCTCAAGCAGATGAAACTCAATAAATCAATACCAAAAGCTGCTCATATTTCTTCCTTTACTGCTGTCCAAGGGGTCAGAGCTCCAATCCATATCTGGCATTCCAAACTTGATCATGCTTCTGAACCTATTGTTTCTAGAGTTGTTAGAGAGGCTATGCTTCCTATTTCTGGTCCTGTAAAACACAATAAAGCGTGTGAGTCCTGTCACGGTGCTGAGAGTCACAAACTTCCCTTCTCTGAGTCCAATAACAGATATGTCCATCCCCTTGAATTAATTCATTCGGATGTATGGATATCTCTAGTGTCATCAGTCAATGGATGTAAACTCTATGTCTTATTTATTGATGATTATTCAAGATTTACATGGTTGTTTCTTTTAAAGTCTAAATCTAATGTGTTTGCCTGCTTTATCAAGTTTAAACAACTTGTTGAGACTCAATTCTCTTGGCAAATTAAACAACTTCTCACTGATAATGGTGGAGAATATTTATCCACTGCCTTTCAAACTTTTCTCCCTACAAATGGCATCCTACACAAGCTAACTTGTCTCCACACATATGAGCAAAATGGCATTTCAGAGAGAAAAGGCAGGCATGTAACTGAAACAGGTCTCTCACTCTCAGCACAGTCTCAGCTTCCTTTTTGCTACTGGGTAGATGTTTTTCTTACAGCCACCTGTGTTATAAACCGACTTCCCACACTTGTTCTAAACAATCACTCTCCTCTTTTTACTTTGTTTTGTAAACCACCAGATTACTCCTTCTTTAAGACCTTTGGTTGCACCTGTTATCCCTTACTGAGACCATATAATTCCCACAAATTAGCTTTTAGAAGCACCAAGTGTGTCTTCCTTGGATATAGCTCAAACCAGAAAGGTTATCAGTGTCTGGATTTAAAAACAAATAAAGTCTATATTTCCAGACATGTCATATTTGATGAGTTGAGTTTTCCTGCTACTACTACAAAGGATCCAACTCCAGCCTCCTCATCCTTGTAGGAAAATTTTCTCAGCTCTGGTAGATCACCACAATCAGGTTCACACTCTCATCTCTCAGCATCTTTTTCAATTCCCTCATTTACAAATTCTACACCTCCTGTTTTACCTACACTAGCACCTTCCCAGAGCATTTCCCTTACATCAGTATCTATTGAACTCATATCCTCTCCCTTAGACTTATTTCCCTCGAATGATGCACCCATTTCAGACTCACCATTTGATACCTCACCTAGTGACTTATCCTCTCCTCCTGTTGCACCAGATTTATCTTCCACAAATTCCATACTTGCCACGCAAACCCATCAAATCATTACTCAATCCAAAACCAATTCCTGCAAACCCAAATTGTTTCCAGATTACCATCTGTACTATTCCACTAAACATCCACTACAAGCTTTCTCTACCATTACCTTACCCATTGAATCTCATACTTACAAAGAAGCACTGAAGGACCAGCATTGGATTGATGCTATGCAAGCTGAATACAATGCTTTGCTGTCCAATCACACTTGGACTTTATGCCCCCGACCTTGCCACAAGAAAGTTGTGAGGAATAAATGGGTGTTTAAGCTTAAATAGAAATCAGATGGGATCATTGACTGCTATAAGGCTAGATTAGTAGCTAAAGGGTTTGATCAAATTGATGGTGTAGACTTACTGAGACCTTTAGTCCTATTATTAAACCAGCAACTATTCGATTGGTGTTGGCACTAGCGGTTCACCACAACTGGGCTATAAGACAGCTTGATATTTCTAATGCATTTTTGCATGGCTTTCTTGAAGAAGAGGTATATATGGAGTAGCCTAAAGAGTTTGAGGATCCTCACTTATCTGATTATGTGTGCAGACTACACAAGTCCATCTACGGACTCAAACAAGCTCCTAGAGCTTGGTTCTTGAGACTTTCTCAAGCACTACTTGCCCTTGGATTTAGTGGCTCAAATGTGGACACATCCCTCTTTACATTTCACCACAACAACATATCTGTGTTTTTCCTCATTTATGTTGATGATATCAGAGTTACAAGTAACTCTCCTTCATCTATTGATCACCTCATCACTCTACTTGGAGCTGACTTTGCTATCAAAGATCTCGAATCTCTATCTTATTTTTTAGGCATTCAAGTTCAACATACATCAGAGGAGCTCCATCTCAGCCAAGGCAAATATGCTATTAACCTCTTGCATCGCACAAAAATGGCTAGAGCTAAACCAACTCCTACCCCTTGCACCTCAGGAGCTAAACAAAAATGGTTGGATTCGTTATCCGATCTGATTTGATCCAAAAAAATCGAACATCCAGAAATCCGAATTAGGATTTAGATTTCAATTTGGAAGTATCCGGATTTTTGGATCGAATATCGGTTTAGGGTCTGCGAAAAACTGGATATTCGATCCAATCTTGTTAAAAACCCAAATAATTTTTTTGTTTTCTCTTCCCCTCTCTTTTCTTTTCTCTTTCCGTGTCTTTTCTGTATTATTTTTCCTTTTCTTATCTTCTTACTCTTCCTCTTACTTAATCTCATTTCATTTTTTCCAGATCTAAGAAATCAGACAAGAGGAGTTTATTGGGTTTTGTCCTGCTCTTGGCTTTCAGAGAATCAGTTTTCTTGGTTTTTGGAGAATGGATTTAGTTTGTGTTCTGGTTTTTTTTTTTTTCCCATTTTTTAAGACCTTTTTATTTCCATTTTTTGTGGGGCTTTTTTTTTTTTAATTAGTTTGGGCAGTGTGTTTGGTATGGAAATATGTGGTCGTGTTTATGGTGGTGATTTGAATTTTGCTGGTGGTGATTCGAATATGGGTGGTGGGTTTGACAATGAACCTGATTTTTTGGTGGGGGTTGAGATTTGATTTAGGTTTTGATTTTAAATTAGATTTGATTTTAATTAATTGGCATTGAAGGAAAAGATTTGTGGGACATTTGATTTAGATTTCAGATCTTGATTAAAGGTTTAGATTTCAGATTTTGATTTTAGATTTTGATTCAGATTCAGATTTTGATTTGATTTAAAATTTATTTAATTTTGAGCACTATTATACTAGTTTGCTTGAAAAGGCAAGAAAAACAGATTTAGATTTTAGATTTTTTGGACTATTTGATACTTAGATCAAAACCGGATTAGTCACAAACCAGATCAGATTTGGATCGATTTTAATCCTAATCCAAAAATTCAGGTTGGATCAAAAAATAAGCAAATCAGATTGAATATCCGGTTTTGAACACTCTTACAGCATAATCTTCACTTTCCTATTTTCATCTATCTTCAAAAAGCTCAAAACCTCATCAAACACGTTTCTTATTCTCCAAGTTATTAATTAACAAGAGAAAAGGTTAACTACATATTCTAACTAATCTTGCACATTTCTTATTCTCTAAATTATTAATTAACCAGATAAAAGGTTAACCACATATACTAACAAATCTTGCACATTTCTTATTTTGTAAGTTATTAATTAACCGGAGCAAAGGTTAGCCACATATTCTAACCACATTATTAATTTCATTTTAATCGGTTTGTCACATAATTAATGAAAGCTTATTTAGGTATAAATAGAGGGACATCTTACTTGTATATGCATACAAACAATGGCCCTCTTGCAATATTATTACTTAATCTAGTCATACTCTGCATAATCTTCGCTTTCCTACTTTCAGATATCTTCAAAAAGCTCAAAACGTTATTAAACAAGTTTCTCATTCTCTAAGTTATTAATTAACCAGAGAAAAGGTTAACCACATATTCTAACTAATCTTGCACATTTCTTATTCTCTAAGTTATTAATTAACCAGAGAAAAGGTT